TAGTCGTAGTCGTAGTCGTAGTAGTAGTAGTCGCCGTCGTCGTCGTCGGAGGAGGAGGAGGTGGAGGAGGAGGAGGGCGAAGAAGAGGAATCTGCCCCTGGCCCTGACCCCGCCCCCAAGGAGCACGAGCTCGGCCCGGCCAGGGCAGAGCTCGGCGAGGCGCCGCTGGAGCAGGAAGCGGAGCCAACTATGGTCCCGAGGGGCGGGGGAGGAGGACCAGACGAGGAGGAGGAGGAGGACGAGGACGAGGAGGACGAGAACGATGACGAGGACGAGGACAAGCAAGAGGAGGAGGAGGACGACGATGACTAACGACGACGAGGAGGAGGAGGAGGAGGAGGAGGAGGAGAGCGAGGAGGAGAAGGAAGAGGAGAAGGAGGCGTCGGAGGAGGCGTAGGAGGAGGAGGAGGAGGAGGAGGAGGAGGAGGACGAGGACGAGGAGGAGCAGACGAGGACGAGGACGAGGAGTAGGAGTACGAGAGGAGGAGGAGCGGGGGGGAGAGGGGAGAGGAGGAGGAGGAAGGAGGAGGAGGAGGAGGAGAGGAGGAGGAGGAGGAGGAGGAGGAGGAGGAGGCTTGGCATCGTCCCAACGTGTGCATTGTTCTCGGCGGGGACCACCGAGGAGCATCCTGGATCATCGGGCAATGGAAAAGCGCGCGCGAGACCGACCAATGCACGGGGAATGGACGCCCGAGCGATGGCAAGGCGGAAGGGGGGAGGAGGAGGAGTTGGAGGAGGAGGAGGAGGAGGAGGAGGAGGAGGAGGAGGAGGAGGAGGAGGAGGAGGAGGGGAGGAGGAGAGGAGGAGGAGGGGGGGGGGAGCGGGTGAGGAGGAGGAGGAGGAGGAGGAGGAGGAGGAGGAGGAGGAGGAGCTGTCAGTTCCCCGACGAGGAGGTCGGATCGGCAGGCTCCACAGTGTGCGGCGACCACGCCGTGTGGGTATCCAGGGTGGCCGCGCGGTCTGGGGGCTCGGGCCGTTCTCCGAGGATGTATCTCTGGACGCCCGAAATGGGTACTGAAAGAATGGGTACAATGCCCAGCAGCAAGTCCTGTTCATTTTGAACAGGACTCGCTGTCCACGCCGCCGCGGCCTGTGTCCATTCGAGACAGAAGGCCGCCCGCCCAACAGCGGCCGCTGTTGGTTTGGGACAGCATTTGTTGTTGGGCATTGTACCCATTCTTTCCGTACCCATTTCGGGCGTCCAAAGTATCGGGCGTGTTGTGCCTCCAGGGTTCCAGAACCGTGCGGTGACAGACCGTGCGCCGAGGTGTTTGGGATTCCGAGGTCATCGCACGGCCTGTCACCGCATCGTTTCGGGACCCCCAAGAAGAGGGAGGAGGGGAGGGGGGAGGTGGGGGGAGGGGGGCTTCCAGGATGACGAGGCGGGCCGAGGATAATGAGGGAGGGCGAGGGGGGGACAAGAGGTAGCAAGCAAGAGGGAGGAGGGGGGTGGGGGGCTGGCTGTCAGTTCGCCAAGGAGGAGGTCGGAGCGAGAAAAAGGGGGCAGAGGCGAGTGAGAAAAAGGACGTGCGCACCCAGCAACGTTCACGTACATGCCCCCGAGTTCGCGAGGCCGCCCTCATGTCACGGGCGCTCGCGTCACACGCTCTCTCGAAGCCCATTTGTGCGCGTACGTAGTAGCTTGGCTCCTGAAGCAGGAATGGCGAGGAGCGACGAGGAGCGACGAGGAGGATGATGAGGAGATTGGACTTGAGACGTAGGAGGGAGGAGGGGTGATGATGTATGTAGGGATGGGAATGACGACAGCTCTCCAGGAGCAGGAGGACGAGAAGCGAGGGAGGGGGGGGGACGAGAGGGGACGAGGAAGATGAGGAGGGAGGGAGGAAGAGGGCCATCCTCTCGGGGCCCCTCGCCGATGGAGCTCGGGTGGTGCCGAGCGTGCTCCTGGACCCCCCCGAGTCGTGAAGACACCACGGCGGACGGTTGCCGGCACTCGGCGTCCGCGGGAGGCCTCGCCGGGCCGCAGGGCCAGTGCAGCGACAGTTCTGCACGGAGAGCGCGTCCCGAGGAGGGGGTCCCCCGCCCTCCGGGCGCCCCACCTCGGCGTCGGGGGTGAGGGTGCCCAGCGCAGGGTGTCCCCCCGCCTTGCGTGCCAGCTTGCGGCAGTTTGGGGCCCCCATGGGGTTCTGGACGCCGTGGGAGGGGCGGGCGGGGAGGATGCGGGGAGGAGGGGCAGGAGGAGGGGCAGGAGCAGGAGGAGAAGGAGAAGCAGGAGGAGCAGGGAGAGAGTGAGGACGAGGACGAGGAGGAGGAGGAGGGGAGGAAAGAGAGAGAGATTCAGGAAGGGAGGGAGGCGGGAAGAGAGGGCGGGAGAGAGGGAGGGGGAGCGGGAAGGAGAGGGGGAGGGGAGGCGCTTGTGAGATCCTCGTGGGCAGCGGCGGCACGGATGGACGAGGTCAGGAAGGAGGGAGGGGGCCCGGGCGCGCCCCAGATGGACGAGATCAGGAAGGACATCGACGAGTGGTGGTCGGCGTTCGAG